ATGCTGACACTTGAGAATAGTGGTTTAGTATTTGTCAAAAATATAGCTCTGGCAAAACCACGGGTAAGCCTTACAGACTCCGAGAATGCTAACATTCCCAGATGGAAAAAAATGTAGTTACTTCCCTGATTTTTATTCTATAAGGTTTAAATAGTTTGTGAGTTACACATCTAAACTTTACACATCTAAAGGAGGAAGAATTGTATAGCCGCAATTCTTAGGCATTGATACAGGCAACTTAAAGAGTAATTTAAACTTCTTGTTTCCTGAAATTTAAGACACTGTGTTATTAACTTGCTGCTTTGCTGATCAGAATCATTACACATTAAGTAGTGTTGACTCTCCTCTATTAAGTTGGTAGAATTATTAACGTTTACAGTTCCTTTCATTGCCCAGATACATTTATCCAGATGTTTGGACATTTTTCTCCATCACCCAGCCTTGCTCCCCAACCAAACTCCAGTATGTCCAACTTGTGTCAGTTTACTGGATCCTCCCATGAGACACTTGAACGAAAAGTTCTCCAGAACTAGAAATAGATATTTTTAGATATTTTTCTTCCTAGTAAGGAAATTGGTTTTTTGATGACACGAAAATCATTTCTCTGTAATGGAGTTTTTTCCCCCAAGGAATTTTAAATAAATAACACTTAAAGCCACATTTAGTCTGAAATTTTTCATTCAGTCATCTTCCAATCTGGGTGAGTCATGACAGAAAAAAAAAATATGTCCTCCACCAACTTATGCAGACAATTTCTTCAGAATGAGCATGACCTAGATTTCATGAGGTCAGGTAACTAGGAGGTAAAGTAGCTAATCAATATATTGGAGAAGAAAGTCAAATATACAATTGTTAAACTACTTTGCGTCATCATTAATCTGTCTTTGTGACATAGGTCTGAATTAGACCTTTCAAAACATTTGAAAATTTTAGATAATAGTAAATTAGAAAGCAACCAGAAAGCAAATACAGATCACAAATTACTCTTTTCCAAAAGACACAATAATGGAACAGACACCCAAAGTTGAATGCCAAACACATTTAGTGCTAACATTCAAAACTCCAAATATCAGATGGTGATATAATCCCACATCTGCATACTATCATAACAACCAGAAATGATAGACTCATGTAAAATAAAAGTCTGGTAGGAAAGTTTACACAGGTGCAAGAAAAAAAAAAAAAGCATTTGCAATATGTATAGTGTATCTTAATTATATTTAATTTAAAATAAATATTCTGCTTGGGGCCACATGAAAAACCAGAAAGATTTTGTTACCACATCATATGGAAATAACGTAAGTCCTTTGAGAGTGAAGAATATTTCTTATTTACATGGCTGCCATGAGAGGACCTAGCACAGTGCCTGCCTCCCAAGACAGTGCAAACCACCTGCCCCTATCACATAGGGAGTTCAAGTGCACATTTGTAGGCCTCACCTCTTGTATCTTAAACAGAAACTTTTGGATAGATTACAGAAACCTGCACTTTTAACAAGTTCTCCAAGTATTTCTTATGGACACTGAAGCTTAATAACTACTAACAGAAAAGTTACTCTGTAAATGTTTAATAATTTTGTATCAAACCAGTGTAGACCAGTGTATAGAATCTCGAAGAACCACAGTCAAACTTTCTATTGGAAAAATGGTGTCTGAGCACTAGGCCCAGTATCTCCCTCAAACAGACTGATAATACTGTCACCAGGGTTTTCATTCTTGCTTTTACTGGCTAATATTAAAACCTCAAATCACATCTGCCCCACATCCCAAACCCTGGCACTAGGCCCTCTGGAACCGCCTTTGTATAATCAGAAATTTGTTTGGAATTCTCTGTGTCTTTTCTTAGCTTCCCCCTCTCCCTCATATCCTTAACTTGTCTGACGATACCCATTTCCCCTGCAAGCCTCACAAGTGAGTGCTCACACTAAGGACCTCAGCATGCAGAGGAATGTTGGTGCTGTGGACTGAAGGTTGTGTCCTGCCCAAAATTCATATGTTGAACTCCAAACCCCAAGGTGATGGTAGCTGGAGATGTAGCCTTTAGAAGGTAATCGGGTCATAAGGGTGGAACACTTATAAATGGAATTCGTGCCCTTATAGAAGGGACAGGAGAGAGATGGTGTCTCTCTTCAACATGTGAGGATACAGCAAGGTGTCCATCTGTAACCAGGAAGAGAAACCTCCCCAGGAACTTAAGTCACCAGCACCTTGATATTAGGCTTCTCAGCCTTCAGAACTGTAAGGATTAAATTTCTATTGTTTAAGCCACCCAGTCTATGGGGTTTTACTGCTATAGTAGCTAGAGTTGACTAAGACAGTTGGTATCATCCTCTTTCCCCACTGCCACTTACAGACCAATAAGAAGGGTGATGCAGTAAGCCAGGTGACAGCTGATGGCAACTGAGAATGGAATGTGTGGCATTGAAGATAGTGAGAAGTGCTTAGCCTTGAGATATTTGGGACACTGGTACTCTTGAAGACTTAGAGTTTTCTTTGATCTCTGTATCTCCTTCCTTAAGCAAGCTCATCGAAGTCCATGACTTCCATTACTGCATACATGCACTTGGATGGCTCACCTTTCATTTCTGTTTTCCACTGATGCCTCTCATTTGATATCCAGTCCCTTAAAATAAATTGTCTAGTTGGCATCTCCATTTAGTTTTCTCAAAAACATCTCAAAATCAACAGTTCAAAAGTTGAAGTTATAATCTCCTCCAAAGTTTAACACACCCCTAACCTGAATAGTAACCTGTTCCTCTTCCAGTGTTTCTCATCTCAGAAATAGTACCCCCATCCATCCAATTACATGAGCCACACACCTAAAAGTCATTCTGGACTACCCCTGTCCCCTTATCATACAGTCTATCAATGAGGCTGTCTATTTGCCTCATAAGTATTGTATCAATAGACTTTTCTGTATCTCCATCACTTTCTTCTGGTCCAAGCCACCATTTTCTCTTGAAATTGCCCACTGGTTAGTTTCCCAGCAGATCACTTTTATTCCTCCTTGTCTCTTCTCTACAATAATGTAAGAGTTAAGAACAAATGCCAATGGCTTCTTATTGATTTTATGATGAAAACCAAAAATTTGGATGTCATTACAACATACTCTGGTCCCCTGTCCCGTTCCACACATATTTCCTAAAGTGCTTCCCTTAAACCCAGGCCACAAGGACGTCTGGTAGGGCCCTCATTTTAGAAGTTTACCCATATCACAAACACACACATCTACAAGCACACATGGGCATGCATGCACATAGAAACTATGTTAAAAAGCCCCTGGAGCTTTTATCAGTAAAATAGGCGCCTAGCCAGACATACTGCAACCCATATCCTTAAACACCTGCTCTGTGACTAACACTCGTAAGGCCCTGGGGAACATTACTCCACATCTCTTCTACTATGCTTTCAAAACAAAAGGCAATGGCCTCCCAATGCCACCACTGCCAATTGCAGGAGCAAGACACCAAGAGTGGTGGAGGACTTTGGGCAAGTTACTTGAACACTCTGAAATTTGACATGTCACTCAAAACTACAATAAACATACCTACTTCATAAGATTGTTTACAATAACATAAACCCTGCACATGGTAATTCAATAAATAGTAAAAGATAGTGCTGATCCTTAACATGATCATGATTTCCCAGGTCCCACCACATTTAATGTTCCACTTATTTTTCCAAGTTCTCAGAACAGTCTGCCTGGAAATGAAATCATAGCGTGCAATTACCCTGGAAAACTAAATCCAATCCCCCTTTTGTTTTTGCTGCGAGAATTTTTTTAAAACATGAGAACTACAATGAACCAGTATAGCTGAATTTTAATTACAGAAGAAATATTTTGTTAAGTGAATCTATCATGCTGAAATACACATTGATCTTGCACTACACTGCCTCCCTTGGCCACTCATTTATAACTTAAAACTCTTTAATACTCTTCTATTTATCTGCAGATAGCATTTGAAAAACACATCAGAAAATCACATTTGAAATTATATTCCATGCGGAGTGCTTATTATTGATGGCCATAACTTTTACTATACAGATCTTCAAATGTGATTCTAATTATATATGTGTGGCTATAGATATGTTTCCAACACTCTGGCTGCCAGTGCCTTGACCACCTTCTCTGCCAATGGCCTTGTCCTCTACTCCACTTCAACCACTCACTCACATGGCCATAGCCTTGAACTTTTCATTACCAATGTTTGCAGACCTACCATATCTCAATTTCTAGCCACCCCTCTCCTTTCTTCTCAGTCTCCAACATCTTGTCACCTATCCACACACTCAACTGATAATCTTACTTCCTATTTCCCTAAAAACTAGAAGCAGCCCTTCATCTTCTTCTCAATACTGCAGCCACATTGGTCTCATTAAAATGTTAATCAGATTGTGTCATTTATCTCATTAGAACCCACCACCCCACCACTGTCAGTGACTTTCCATCATGCTCAGCAGAAAAGTCATGCCCTGCAATGGCCTAAGAGTAGAATGAAAAAGGAGCACCACTGATAACCACATCAGAACAATGCACAGTAGTTGGAAATTTGGGCAAAGTGAGAAGTGAATTTCACCTCTGTGGATTTGGATCTTAAGATCTACTAGTTTTCACTTGCTTACCTTACTACAGTTGCATGGTGCTTCTCACTGTTTCTTAGATACACCTAGGCATGCTTCAGCCTAGGCCCTTTTCACCACTATTTTCTTTGCCTTAAACATTCTTCTCCAAGATACTCTGTCAGTCTGCTTCCTCACCTTTGAGTCTTTACCTTCCTCAGTGAAGTCTGGTGTCCCCTTGATCCGCTATCTAAAACTACCACATAGCTAATCTCTATCCTTCACCAGCTTCGTTTTCCTCTTTGGCCATTATTACTATCTAACATGCTATATATTTTACTTATTCATTTTGTTATTATCTGTGTTCCAACACAGGCACTCAAATATATACACTCCATACAGGCAGGGATTTGGGAAAGGAGCTCCCTCAATAGACATTTACCTCTGAGTCTGACCAAGGGTGACCAAAGTCATTCAGTTCAAGTTGCCTCACTTCTCCAATATGGTCCATCTCACAAGAAACAAGCCTTTCAGCATCTGGAATGTGGACTGGTTAGGCAGCTAGAAAGAGCAAGGAAAGCACTCAATGAATAAGGATATACTTACTCATGACAGGAGCAAAGGAAGGTGAGAAAAAAGAGAGAACCTTGGGGGCTGGCATAGGAGAGAAGCCTCACAGAGAGGGAAATGGCTCTTAAGCTTGGCCTTGAAGAAAATGGAACTGGGAGGAATGAGGAGGAAGAAGGAATTTCTGAGCAGAGAGAGAAAAGTTGGTAAAGCAGGAAGACAGAAATGATGACGGTGTCTTAGTTTGGATTATCCCTCAAGCCGACCTGGGGGGAGGACAACTTATTTCCATGTAATTCCAGGAAGCACAAGTGGGGAAGGAGGGAAAATGACACAGAAAAGGGACAGAAACTAATCATGTGTATGACAATGACTGGGGTAACCACTATGGGCACTGTAGCTCAATTCTCCTGGAGAATCTAACACATTCTATTAGTTTTCTATAGCTGCTATAACAAGTTACTACAAACTTAGCAGTGTCATATGACAGAAATTTATTATTGTGTAGTTTTGGAAGTGAGAAGCTCAAAAGTGGGTCCATCAGAGCTAAAACCAAGGCACCAACAAAGCTGTGTTCCTTCAGGAGCTTCTGTGGGAAAAGCTGTTTCCTGGCCTTTTCCAGCTTCTAGGGATTGCCCACATTCCTTGACTTGCTGCCTCTTCATTAACAGCCTCACTCCACTTCCATCATTACATCTCTTTCTTATAAGTCCCTTGTGATTACACTGAGACCACCAAGATAATTCTCCCCATCTCAAAATTCTTGATTCAGTCACATCAGTCATCAAAGTCCCCTTTGACATGTAAGGTAATTTAGTCACAGGTCTGCGGGTTAGCATGTTGGTATCTTTGGGGGACCATTATTCCGCCTACTTAGATACCATGTGGAAAACACTTCAGAACCATTCTCCCACCACTACTAGGATGGGAAACTTGGGGCACATTACACTAATTTCTAGCCCAGACGATTGGTTGCAGGTTGCCCTGGGCTGTACCTGCATACAGCTGAGCAAATTCACAGATGCAAGAGATAGTCGCAGGCAAAGAAGAAGGCACCAGGGATGGGACGCTGCTAGTGGTCAGAAATTGTTCCAAGGGCAGGGCACCACTGTACCTGGTAGCCACGACGCAAACAGAGGTTAATTAGGGAGTATGTGTGGGGAAACCATAGGAACAGTATTGAACAGGTAAGACTGGCACAGATGATGCAGTGCCCCAAAAGCCAAATAATTGACATTAGGGAAACGGGAGTTTTCAAGAGAGGTGATGAAAGCAGTATTTTAGGGAGATTTGTCTCACAGGAGAATACTGAGAGTCCAATACAAATAATGCTCTAATAATCCAGAGCTAAGATGATGAAATGCTACGACTCAAAGTATAGATCCAAGAATTGAAAAGAAGCAGCAAAGACAAAAAAAAAAAAAAGGTCTTGGTACTAAAAATGGGATTAAATGAGAGAGAAAAATCAATCATAAGTTTTCTACCTTAAAACGCTGAAATAATAGTATCTATAGGGAGTTGAGAATGAAAATTAATTTGGAAGAATAGATTGGTTCAATTTCAGGTTCACTAAATGTGAAATAAGGTGATGATAGTATACCCAAATTGAGCTGTCAAGTCATAAAAATTTTTCTCAATAAAAATTGTTCTACACCTTTCTAATTAAATTAGAAATCTTATTCAAAACAACCAAGATCATTACCATTTTATTTCGTGGGTAGATGGGAAAATATTGTAAGACTACTCATCATTCCATTTCCATTAATATATTTCCAAGCAGCTCTCCAAATTCATCTATATCGCTTTTATTACACATTTAATAGGAAAGCAGACTTCCTTGAATCCAGAGTTTTAGACTTCTTGTTACAGTATTATTAAGATACTCTACAGACAAACAAGAAAGGCTGGTCTTGGAGTTCAAACATCTGGATCACAGTCTTACCTAGCCCTTACAGCACCTGACTGTGCAAACTTGGGTGAGTCACTTAAGTGATTTGAGGGTCTATTTTATTGTTTGATACTGAGGGAGCTGGAATGTATTATTTCTAACGTTTCCCCCAGCCCAAGAAGCCTCAGCTGTCAGCAGACAAACTGCTAAATTCATCACCAATTTGGTCAAATTCTAATCACTCTAATATCATACACATGTTATCTGAGTATATTATTCAATTGTCTATTTTTTAAAGCCAAAGTAAAAAGACTTAAGTGAATGCTGTGAATTGGAACTACTGCGAAGCAACCTGCATTTGTTTTATTAACAATGTTTTATATTTGGTAGCACTTTACAGCAATCTTTCATATATTCTTCCCTTACTTTACCTTAAAAGCTACTTCATATGCCTGTTAATATTTGTCTCATTTTACAATTCAGAAAACTGAGACTCAGGTGATTGCCCAGGATTACACCACCAGCGATAGAGTCTGAACGCAAAATCAGCACTGACACCAAGTCGAATAGTATTTTCAAAACACTAAAATATTTCTCAATATGCCAGACATGTAATGTCTAAATATAATTTGAGACTTTAAGATAGAGATTTATTTAAAGATAGTTTACTTACTGACATAGAAGTCTTATATTTTGTAATTACTACTTGCTGTATTGTAGAGCACATAGCATTATATTAAGAGTTTACATCATTTACGTATCTATCTGGTGAAGGAGACTCTTAGGATAGAAAACATGTTTATCTGTATCTACCATGTGGCCTGGCACAAAGTAGGTTCTAAAAAAAGATTTGAGGTATGAATACAGTGAGTTTAAATGGCATATCCACGGAGTATTTTATTTATGTTTAATACTTATAATTGTTGTCTACTGTCTGTATTGCATGAAAGATGTTAAAAGTTACTGTACATTTTCACAAGGTACTTATTTAAACTGTCATACAAAAAAAGCTGTAAGTCAGAGAACAGACAAATCCACAATAATAGGTGAAGTCTTTAAAAATACTCTCCTAGTAATTTATTGAACAATGAGGCAAAAAAGATAAGAATATAAAGGATCTGAATCTATCGTTTTACATAACAAACTTTTTATTCATTCAACAACTACAAAATGCACATTTTTATCAAGTACACAGAGAATGTTCACCAAGTTAGAAATCTGTTTGACTACAAAATAATTCCTAATAAGTTTTAAAAGATTGAAATTCATAGAGCATGTTCTCTGATCACAAGATTTAACCAGAAATTGTGAATGAAAAGATATCCACAGGAAATGAAATCAGTATGCAAAGAGATATCTGCACTTTCATGTTTATTGCAGCATTGTTCACGATAGCCAGCATATGGACTCAACCCAAGTGTCCATCAGTGATTAAACTGGTAAGGAAAATGTGCTATACATTCACAATGGACTATTATTCAGCCATAAAAAGAAGGAAATCTTGCCATTTGTTACAGAATGCCTGGAATATTTGGGGAGGGGATTTGGGATGTTGGTCAGAGGACATAAAATTTCAGTTAGATAGGAGGAGTAAGTTCAAAATATCTGCAACAGGGTGACTATAGTTAATAACAATATATTGTATTCTTTAAAAATGTCAACATAGTGAGGTATTCTCACCACAAAAGTGATAAATATATGAGGTAAAGCATATGTTAATTAGCTAGATTTAGTCATTCCAAAGTGTGTATATATTTCAAAACATCATGTTGGACATGACAAATACATATATTTTATGTCAATTTTTTAAAAATAAATATACATGTACACACGCACCTGGGGAATCCCCCATTTAGAATTTTTAAAAACTTATAAATAAAAAACAAATCACAGATGGAATAAGAAAATATTTTTAATGGAATGACAATTTAAAAAATTCTGTGTGTTTGTAAACTTGTGAGTACTACTAAATCAGAGTTTAGAAAAAAATTGATAGATTTGTTTATTTTGTAAAGAGGAGAGGTTCAAAATAAATTATTTATGTGTCTCCCTACAGAAATTAGAAAACAATAAGCAAATTAAACCTGAATTAAGCAGAAAGAAAATAAGGGAGGACTCAATGAAACAGGAAACAAACGGTGGAGAAAATTCACGAAGCTAAACGTTAGCTCTTTGAATCTAAGACCTTTGAAAGATTAGTGAGGAAGACAAGAGAGAGAAAACACAATTTACCAATAATACGATGAAAGAGAGGTTTTCCCTACCGCTCCTATAGATATTACAAATATAATGAGTATTATTAGTAATATTATGGCAACAAATTTAAAGGCACTGAGATCAGAAAAAAAAGAAAGAAAACTGACTCAATTTGAAGATGATATAAAACTCTCAGGAGTTAAAAGAGAAACTGCTAAAACTAACAAGTGAATAAATAACATTGTAAGATACAAGGTTAACATACAAAATATAATTACAGTCCTATATACCAACAGTAAAGTTTTGGAAAACAAATTTAAAACAATTTTTTAACACATGGTAAAAAAAAAAGCATTAAATATTTGAAAATAAATTTAACAAAATGCACACAAAACCTCCACAAAAACTGTTTCTGGAAGAAATTAAAGATCTAAATAAAAGGAGAAATATATAAAAGTTTATTGATTGAAAGACACAATATTGTTAGGATGTTAATTCTTCTTAAATTCATTTATAGATTTAATACAATCTCAATACTAACACAACATAATTTTTAATATACTTTGATAAGATGCTCCTAAAATTTATATGGAAATGCATAGCCAAAACAATCTTGTAAAAGAACAAACCTGGAGAACTTATGGGTCCTCACTTGGAGATTTATTACAAATCTACAGTAATGAAAATACTTTGATATTATTACAAGGACAGGCAAATGGAGAATAAAGTCCAGAAAGAGATCCACACTTAGCCAACTGATTTTTGACAAAGGGATTAAAGCAATTAAAAGGAGAAAGGAAAATCTTCTAACTGATGAAATATAAAAAAGTCTATGCCATACGGTTAAAAAAAAAAACAAAACCCTGAACTCCTACTTACACCATACATAAAATCAATTTGGGATAGATCATAGACCTAACTGAAAATTCAAAAACATAAAGCTTTTAGAAGAAAAGATAGGACCATAGTATTACTACCTATCAGTAGGAAAAGATCTAGATTAGACACAGAAAATAATAAGAAAAAAGGAAAATATTGACATACTGGACTTCATCAAAATTAAGTATCTGCTTATCAAAAGAAATTGTTAAGAAAATGAACACGCAACCACCAGTGGGAGAAAATATTCACAAAACATATTTCTGATCATGGACCCATATCCAGAATATATTAAGAATTCTTAGAATCCAAAATTTTAAAAGACAACTCAGTTTTTTTTAAATGAACAAAAATGTGAACAAACACTTTACAAGGAAAGATGTACAATAGTCATTAAGGTCAAAAAAAGTGCTCAACATCATTAATTCATCATCAGGATATTCAAACTAAAGTCACAATAAAATACCATTTACAGCCACTAGAATAACTAAAATTAAATAGACTGAAAATATCAAGGGATGCATATGATGCAGATACAATTTGAATTCTCATTCATTGCTGATGAGAATGTAAACGGTACAACCCCTTTGGACAAGTGTTCCTCAGTTTCCTGTAGAGTTAAGTATTCACCCCTACTACAACTCAGCACTTCATTTCTGGGTATTTATTAAAGAGAAATTTAAAAATATCTGTTTACACAAAGACTGGTACATAAACATTTACAAGAGTTTTATTCATTATCACCCCCAAATGAAAAAAAACTCAAATGCCCATTAACAGGAAAACAGATAAATTATAATATATTCACAAACGGAATACTATTCAGCAACAAAACAGAACTATTATAATAAAACATGAATAAATCTTACAGATACTGTGCTGTGCTAAAGGATTTGGATGAAGCAAAGTACATATAAATGAAGTTCCAGAACAGGAAAAATTAATCTGCGGTCAACAAAATCAGGAAACCATAATTAAATGAAAGGCAAGGGTATTGACTCAGAAGGGGCTTCAGGCAACTTTCTGAGATGATGAAACTACTCTTTATCTTGCAGATGTGTGTGCTTCACATCAGTGAACGCATTTGCCTAAATTTGTTGTATTTTACACTGAATTTTGTGCATTTTATGGTATATAATTTTACCTTCAAAAAATTTTGCAAACAAATATTGAACTCTTGTTTGGAGACTGGCTTTTCACAGTACTGCGGGTTAGGAATGCTGAAACTATTTTCTAGGCATTCTAGTCTAGAAGGGTGTATTAGGGCTCCCAAGACAAACAGAACCAATCGGATGTATCTAGATATAGATACAGACAATAAATGGATGTAGATATAGATATAGACATAGATATAAAGATATAGATGTAGATATGAATACAGAAAAAAGATAGAGCGATTTATTTTAAGGAATTGGCTCACATGACGATGGAAGCTGGCAAGTCTAAAATCTACAGAGCAGGCTGGCAGGCTGGAGACCCAGGGAAGAGCTGATGCTGTAGTCCAGAATACAAAGGCAGTCTGAAAGTGGAATTCCCTTTTCCATGAGGGATGTCAGTCAGATGAGTCCCATCCACCACATGCAGAGTAATCTGTTTTACTCAAAGTCTACTGATTTACATGTTAATCACACCTAAAATACCTTCACAGCAATATCTGGACTGTTGACCATATAACTGGTTACCATATTCTGGCCAAGTTGACATATAAAACTAACCATCACAAAAGGATTTACAACTATGAAAATGGAGAAGTTTAAAATGTATCCTGTGATACTGAACTGGAATTGGAGGTATCCGTATGAATTCATGGTTTCAATAATTATACAATGATAAGGTAAGAAAATCCCAAAATTTAACTAGTATACAAGAAGAATTAGTGTAAAAGGGCACAATATCTCCAGCTTGTCCTAAAACGGTTAAGAAAATAAACTAAGATCACATATATAAGTAAATATAGATAGAGCTGCATGTACACCCACATTCACACATGCACATTTCCTGCCTCTGTTTGCTGACAAAGCCTAGGAACAACGACAGGCCAGTAGTAGTGACCATACCTAGCACTCAGATTTTAGTTTCTAAATACCATTTTACACTAACCAGCATCAAGGCTCCCTAGAGAAAAGACTGATTCTAGGTCTGGGACAAGGAGGGCACAAATGAGCCTAGAATATCTGACTTACAGCACAAGAAAGGACTCAAAAAGTTGTGTAAACATAACAAAAGGACACAGAGACCAGTGTGAAGAGGCTCCTACCAGACAATGAAAAAATTCTGGAACAATGAAAACATTCTGGAACAATGAATAAATGGAGGAGAAGAAAACATCCTTTGAGTAGTGGAATGCTACTCTAATAAATGTAGAAGTAACAAGGAGAAACACATCCATGAATGCTAAAATCAGTGAATGAAGATTTTAAGGAGCATCATTTACATGGTATCAGTGTATCTCCCCACAAGCTACTTGTTAAATCAAAAGGAAAATTATTTTACAATGGAGAGACCTGGCTGACATGACCTTTATGATAAGCAGTTTTGGACGAAGCCAGCATCACATGATTCCTGACATGCTGCACTCAGAAGGACACAAATCCTGCTGTGGTATTTCTGCTGAAAATAGATGGCTTTAATCTAATCATGAAAACCT